CAAAAACCGACAGCGTAGTGTTCACTGTTGGGTTGGGTGGTACCCCCAAACGAGTAGGTACTCAAGTTTGGTTCTTGGATCCCGTACGTACGTTTTAACCCTAGCCACCGGGCATCATACCCGCAAGGCCTAACTTATATAGGTATATCTTAGAGTTCTTCTATATACCTTTCAAATCAACATTAATATGGGTATATCTTAGAGGTCTTCTAGATACCCTTAACAATACATATTATTTTCACAAGCATCAATATATTCATTATGATTTAATCATTCATAATTTCCATTTTTAATCAGAACAATTATCAAGATTTAATAATCATCAACCAATAATTATTACCATAATCATCAATCACCATAATATTCAACAACAATTAGCGGCCTAGCTTCGGGTGTTAACACCCGAACTTACCGTCATGCATCACATAACATTTTTATTTGTTAAAAACATCATTTTTATTGTGGTAAATCATTTTTATAATGATCATAATCAATTGGTATCAAAAATAGGATTTTAGAACTCAAAAATTGCATTTTCAAACAAATTTTCGGACCAGAGTTTTGGAGGATCGATCCAGCCCTCTAGATCGATCGAACTAGAAGAAAAACTCCCAGATGATCGATCCAATGAAGGGGATCGATCCACTCTGTGGATTTTCAGCCACTGTTCATTCGTCTTCAACCTCGGTCCATTTTTCGGGAAAACCATTTTTAGTTATCGAACTTCAATGAAACTATATAGAGATGTTCCCTAAGGTTCATAGATCATTTTGGCATTATTAATTCATAGTTTTAACATCAATTTCATGGTTTATGATTCTTGGTTCTTCAAACATGTCAAACACAAAACTCAATCAAACGACCGTTTATGAACGTAGAAACGACCTATATGAACATTCTAGTCATTAGATATATCTACGGGCTTACCTTGAAGCGTAAGGAAGGTTTTGACGATTTTCTGGCGAAACTTCCGGCGACTCTATCTCACTGCTCCGGCGACCTCACACAAAGATGACAGCACCACTGCATTCTACACACTCAAAGCTAACTCTCAGAAGTGATTTGGGAAGAAATGGTGAAGAATTGGGTAGGAAGAGGTGGTCCTTATATAGCCTTAGTGAAGAGGAAGTAGACACGGTGATGACCTCCATTTTACTGTTTCGGCGGCTGAGTGGAGTGGGCTGCTATCTTCTCCGATTCTAAATGTAAGTCCCTGATTGGGACTAAATTGGTCCTAGTCGGGGAACACTTTTTGGTCCAACTTTCTACGAATTGAAATCCGATTGAACTGTTGGAGTCAGACAGTCAAATTCTACATAATGATATAATGTTTATCAATTATTGACAAACTTTAGAATTTACTTATTTTTGGGTCCTTCTCAGTAATTAATTATCAATTAATTAATTCTGATAGGCCTATTTTCGGGGCGTTACATTTCTCTTCCCCTTAAAATAATTTCGTCCTCGAAATTACCTGAGTCATTGGTTGAAGAGATTCGGATATTGTATTCTCATCGATTCTTCGGTTTCCCACGTTGCCTCTTCAGTCGAGTGATTCCTCCATAGCACCTAGACTAAGGGTACAGATTTGTTTCTCAATTGTTTGACCTCTCGTGCTAAAATTTGTACAGGTTCCTCCTCATAAGTCAATTGTTCGTCAAGAGTTACAATTCCCTCAGTCAAGATATGTGATGGATCGGAACGGTATCTTTTCAACATCGATACATGGATATACGTCATGGATTTTGTTCAGTTCTGGTGGAAGTTCTAACCGATATGCTACTGGACCCACACGTTCAGTGATTCCACGGTGAGACTTTCAGAAACACTTTGTCATCAACATTGTATTCGATCTCACAACGTTTCAAGTCAGCATATGATTTTTGACGATCGGAAGCCACTTGCAGTCTTTCTCTGATTAGACGAACCTTTTCTTCAGTTTCGCGGACGAGATCAGGTCCTTCAAGTCTTTGCTCGCTTAATTCTATCCAGCATACTGGGGTTCTACAACGTCTCCCATACAAGGCTTCATACGGGGCCATTTGGATACTCGCTTGATAATTGTTGTTATAAGCGAACTCCATTAGCGGTATGTATGGTTCCCAGTTGCTTCCAAAATCAATTACACATGCTCTCATCATATCTTCAAGAATTTGAATTGTCCTTTCAGATTGTCCGTCTCTTTGAGGATGAAATGCCGTACTAAAGTTGAGTTTAGTACCTAGAGCCTTTTGCAAACTCTTCAAGAATTGCGACGTGAATCGCGGGTCACGATCAGAAATGATAGATGAAGGCACACCATGTAATCTTACAATTTCACGGATGTACAATTCTGCCAATTTCTTCAAGGACATATCACGTCGAATTGGGATAAAATGAGATGACTTGGTTAATCGATCAACGATTACCCAAACAGCGTCATTCTTCTTGGTTGATAATGGAAGTCCGATCACGAAGTCCATCGTAATTCGTTCCCACTTCCATTCAGGAATAGTAGGTGGATGTAACAATCCACTTGGCACTTGGTGTCCAGCCTTGACTTCTTGACATGTCAGACATCGCGTAGTGAATTCAGAATTTTCTCGCTTCATTGTGGGCCACCAGTATGTCTTTCTTAAATCTTGGAACATTTTATTACTGCCAGGATGCATGGTATATGTGGTTTCGTGAGATTCACGCATTAATCGTTCCCTTACTTCGCCACTAGGAACTACCAAACGATTCCGGTAGAATAAAATTCCATCTTTTACAGTGAAATCTTGTCTCTCCCCCTTAGAGACAAGTTCACAAGTCTTCAAACAGTAGTCATCACGTTTTTGTGCAACGTGAATTTCGTTCTCAAGAGTAGGCTGAATTCGGAGTTCGGCTATCATCTTTCGGCTCAATGCGTCAGCAACTACGTTAGCTTTGCCAGGGTGATAGTCGATGTAACAGTCGTAGTCTTTGATCAATTCCAACCATCTTCTTTGTCTCAGGTTTAACTCTTTTTGAGTTAGCAAGTATTTCAGACTTTTGTGGTCTGTGTGAATATATGTCGTTTCTCCAAAGAGATAATGACGCCATATCTTCAAAGCAAATACAACTGCTGCTAACTCAAGATCGTGAGTAGGATAGTTACACTCGTGAGGTTTTAACTGCCTTGATGCGTATGCCACAACCTTTCCGTCTTGCATAAGTACACATCCCAAGCCATTATGAGATGCGTCACTAAAGATTGTGTAGTCTACACCTGGTACCGGTTGTGTCAGTTCAGGTGCTTCTGTCAAACATTTCTTTAGTTTCTCAAAGCTTTGCTGACATGCATCGGTCCATACGAATTTCACATTCTTTCTAAGAAGTTTGTTAAGTGGAGTTGCGATCGAGGAAAAGCCTTCAACAAATCGTCGATAGTATCCAGCTAATCCTAGAAAGCTTCTCACTTCACGAATATTCCTTGGAACCTTCCACTCGGTGATGGCAGATATTTTACTGGGGTCCACTTTAACACCTTCTTTAGAAATCACATGTCCCAAAAACGTAACTTCATCAAGCCAGAATTCACACTTTGACAGTTTGGCATACAGTTTATGTTCTTGTAGTACACTGAGTGCTATCTCCAAATGTTTTGTATGATCTTCTCGATTCTTCGAATAGACAAGAATATCATCGATGAATACAACCACGAATTGATCAAGATAAGGTCGGAATACACTATTCATGAGATCCATGAATACTGCAGGAGCATTGGTCAAACCAAAGGGCATTACCGTAAATTCGTAATGACCATAACGAGTACGGAACGCAGTCTTCGGGATGTCCTCTTTCTTTACTGGGATTTGATGGTATCCTGACCGTAAGTCAATCTTAGAGAATACAGTAGATCCTCTAAGCTGATCAAATAAGTCATCGATACGAGGTAAAGGATATCGATTTTTGATTGTGACTTTGTTTAATTGACGATAATCGATGCAGAGTCTCATCGATCCGTCTTTCTTTTTGACAAACAGAACGGGTGCTCCCCAAGGGGAAACACTCGGACGTATGAATCCTTTATCGAGCAGTTCTTGTAGTTGAGCCTTCAACTCTTTCATTTCAGCAGGAGCCATGCGATAAGGAGTTGCAGATATCGGTCCCGTTCCAGGAACAAGATCGATGGAAAATTCTACTTCTCTGGAAGATGGTATACCAGGAAGTTCGTCAGGAAATACGTCAGGAAAACCACATACTGTTGGTATGTCTTTCAACTCAGGAGTTTCTTTTCGTGTGTCACGTACGTTACACAGATAAGCTTCACATTTCTTCCGAATGAGGCGCCTAGCGTGTATGTACGAGATGAATTCAGTGGATTTAGGTGTTAGCTTCTCTTTCGCCTTTATAGATTTTCCCTCTCCAGACTTTAGTTGAATCGTTCGTTGTCGGCAATCGATAACTGCTTGGTGTTTGGTGAGCCAATCCATTCCGAGGATGATGTCAAATTCTTTGTAAGGTAATTCGACAAGATTGGCAGAGAAC